GTTAGGGACATTGGATGGGGAAACTTATAAATGGCTTACAGCTAATGTTTTAAGAACATTGTGTAACAATAACTAGTTATTTTTTCTGTTTAATTAAACTAACTGGATGATTACTAATCTAAATGTTACTAATGTGAAACAGCTCCAGAGATACCACCAAGACATTGGTCAAAGTCACATTTCAACACTAATTTGAAGTGTCCAATACTATTGAACAATATATGTGAGTCTTTTAATTTCTGGATAATGTTGGCTAGGTGTAAGCCAATAATTTCAATGATGGAGGAGATTAGGGTTAAGTTGATGAGAAGGATACAGATTAGAAGAAATTTGATGATAAGATGGGATCGTGCAATATCTCCTAGGCCCTTAGGAAAGCTTGAAACCGACAAAAAAAATGATGCTGACTGCATTGCTATTATGTCTGGAAGACCTAAGTTCCAAGTAGATACTACAACTGGTGGGTAGTATGTAGTAGATTTGGATGATAGGACCTGCTCATGCAGGAATTGGGACTTATCTGGTGTCCCATGTAAGCATGCAGTGTCAACTATTAACCATAATAGAGGGGACAGGACTGAAACTTATATAGACAAGTTTACATGAAGAAGACATTCCTAAAGGCATACGAGAACATTATACAACCTGTGAATGGAATGGACCTATGGGAAAGAACAGATTTCCTTGAAATATTACCTCTTATATACAATAGGCAGCCAGGCAAACCAACCAAGATTAGGAGGAAATAGGCAGGTGAAAAGGAAACCAAAATAGGTGGGAAGAAGCTAGGAAGGTACCAAGACTCTCTCAAATGTGGTACATGTAGGCAAAATGGTCATAATTCACTAATATGCCATAGACATAAGCCACCAAATGATAGAAACCGACCTGGTAAGAAAAATAAGGCTAAGGCTGCTATTGGAACTTCTATCCCAGCTTCCAAACCTGACAATTATGAAGTTGAGATAGAGAGGAAGAATCAATTGAGAGAGAAGACAAAGCAAAGAGCTAAAGTACTTAAGGTAATTGCACTTTACAATTGTATTTGCATGTTGGGATGATGGTTATATGATAATAGGTGATAGCATTCTGTCTTTGTTTGTTTTTTTTTAAGGAAAAGTAGAATCTGCAGCAACATCATCAGTAGATTCAAGCAATCCAACTTGAGTTGTGAGGAAGAGGGCTAAATGTAGCAACACAAGATGCAACAATTATGCTTTTATCCAAGAATCACAAAGTGGAGTGTAGGATCAATTAGGGTTTGGTTGGGTTTTGGGTTATGGACAAACTATATTGGAGGTTTTTTTTTTTTTTTGGCTTTGGTATGAATGTTAGAGGTTGTTGTCTGGCTTTGGTATGATTGTATTTTGGTTATGGACAAACTATATTAGAGCCTAGATTGTTTTGACATTTTGGTATGAAATGTTTGATATAATGCACTCTTATTTTGTTAGCAGGATGAGTATGAGATCAATGAACTCTTATTTTTCTCTTATTTTGTACAATATTACCTCCATCAAATACTAGATGTCATGCACTTATTTTGGAAAATTTGCAAAAGGAATGTGATTTTCCAAAATTTGCAAAAGGAAAGTGATTTTACAATTTGCCATTTCATACAACCCACAGTTTCATACATTCATACCAAAATAAACCATCAAGCAACATTACAACCAGTTAATGATCTAAAAAAAACTTGCATTAGACAAAAACCAACAAAAACTACTAAGCAAGTTCCAGTATTGTCTTCGTTCCACTTGAACCCTTATGTTCATTTGCATTTGCTGAGAGCATAGCAATAACGATGCCAATAACGATGAAAAACTAAAGTAGCTTCTCTCTCATGTGTGACCTCCTCAGTTCACCCTCAACCTTATCTAGCTATCATATTCAACAACTCATGAATGATCATTTTTTACCGTACACACATTTAAGGATCGAACCAGTCAAAATATGCACACCCTTTTTGCTAAACATGAGGTAAATAACTTAAATAATTGCCCAATTCAAAAATCCTTCCAATTTGAAACCCTAACACCCAAATAACAAAGAAATTAGTGAAATTAACTTACTGCAGCATGTCTAGAATCTTCTCCCTGGATTTTCTTTGGTCCAAGAGGTTTCCAGTCGAGCAAACCCACCGCAAAAAAGCATTGACACATCTCACTCATTCTGGATTTCCTAACTTAACGAAGAAAAATGAAGGATTGGGATTTCTATCAAGCTATATAGACGAAGAGTTCAAATTAAAAAATTAAAAATTTTGTATTTCAAGCCAATCAGCCCATGCTACGTAGGCATGAGTTCAAGACAGAGGGTTGGGTGGGGGAATAAAAAAAATATGTCCGAAAATGCACTTGGAAGGACTTCAAAACTAGCGAAAGTGGGACCCATAAGTGCCATGTAGGCAACTAATGGGACAACTTACAAAAACCCTAACAGTGGAACCACATTGTAACAAATTTGAAAGACTAGGGTATGTCATTGTTAAAATTGAGAAGGTAGGGACTAACATGTCTTAAGGATATAACCACAAGGAACTAAATTGTAATTAACCCTAAATGTTCTAATCTAATATTTTGATTTTCTGGATCTTTTAGTTTTTTATTCTCTCATCACTTGTAGCTTCTGAAAATATTCTGGATAATTTTTATTCACTACGATTTCCTTCCTTTTTCGATGGAGTTGTTCTCTTCGTCATTCATCTCTTGTTGTTTTGTTCTTCGTAAATAATTTGATTGAATAAATAGAAGAGAGAAGAAAATTGTTTGAGAATTGAGTTTTGAGCACTGAGGAGTCGTACGCTTTCTTCTTTCTTTCTATTTTTTTTAATTTTTGTCAAACTATAGAATAGGTGGGTTACGTGAGTTGAGGTTTTTTCCTTAAGTCCTTATAAGACATTTTATAAAGGGGTAAATTTATCTTTAAAATTTTGAAGACAAGGTGGGTGGGAAAATAGGACAGTGGGTAGAAATAGCAGCACTCATGAAGATAAGCTCTTACTTGTACTCTTCTTCTAAATTTCAATGTGGAGGATAGAAAAAGTTAAAAAAGGGAAAAAGGGGTGTCCAAGAAAAATAGGTTAAGTAAAAGGAGTGGCATTTTTTGGAAGATTAGTAATTTGTTTCCCATGTTCAAGGAGGGAGGGAGGGAGAGTTAGGTGGGGGATTTGGCCAATGGCGAATCTATTAAGGCACAAAGGAGGTGGAGCTGCACCTTCCCTCGTTGGAAAAATCATTGTGGGTGCTTCAAATTGCCCCTCTGCTCAGCTGGTGATGGTGCACTCCGCATGTTTGACAAAATAACTCAGCCATAGTCTGGTTGTTGCGCTGCGCAACACACCTAATGTTTTTTAAAAGTCCTTACTGAAACGACGTCGTTTCGGGTCAAGACTTATAATTTTTTATTTTTTTTTAATTTATAAAAATAACCCATACTGCAATCATGGGCTTCCAAGACATGCTTAGGCCTTCATTTTGTGGGCTTTCAAAAGTCTTTAAACATATTTTTCTTTCTTATTTTACAAGGATTACAAAAGGATTTTCAAAATAATGAAATCAATTTGTTTGCTATTGCTATGGTTTTTTTCCTTCTTCACCCAAAGTAAGTCTCATGTGCTGTGCTTTTTTTTTTTTTTCCTTCTTGGCCGCCAATTCATTTCTTCTTTTTTTATTCATTTTTTTGTTCATTTTTGTTCTTCGCTTTTTTAGTAATCTAGTTCTTATTTTATTTTATTTTTCTGATTTGGCTCTTATGATTAGTATTTAGTAGCAAACTCGAGGAGAAAAAGGTTACGCAACGCACGACTCGAGCCATGATCAATTATGATTTGTTTATTTTATTCAATATTTTTTTATGAAGCTTTTAGTCTTCAAAATTGCACCTTTGCTAAAAAATTCCTGGCTTTGCCAATGAATTTGGCTGATTCTATCCTCATCGACATGCTCTTGGAGAACATGAATATCGATGTCTATTGAGGGCATGGTGTGATTAAGTTTACTCCTCGTGTTTTCAGCAAAGCGGCCTGTGATGTTGCATGCCTAAAGCATGTAACATCTATAAAGTTCTAAATACTCAACTCCCTAAAATTGGAGATGAGGTTGAAAATTAAAACCTTGTTGATAAATAACGTTACGATCCACATTCTCTAAACAATTCATCTTGAAAAATGTTATCCTTGAAGAGAAATGAAAGCCCTTAAAGAGGGATACCTCAAAACAACGAGATGCTTATAAATATGCATGATGTACATGAGAATCGTTGGGTAAATAAATTGAAGGTAAACAAATGATAATTTTGTTTTATAATAAGCTACTAGAGTCGTCAAGAACTATGATGATATCAAACCAGGCTTAATGAATGTCGACATGTTACATGATTTGAAAAAAAATTGGAAAGAGGCGCAATTCCATTTTATACTAATAAGAAGAGTGGGATATGGAACCATTGGCCCATGAATTAGGTTGTTGGTTAGAAGAAAAATCAATGTGAGTTTTTAATGATCTTTCTAGATATTATTATGATTTTAATAATCACATGCTAATTTTCTTTGATATATTTGTTGGAAATATTTTGAGCGCTTGGGAATCAAGGAAAATTAAAAGATGTGATGCAATTTAAAGGATTCTACACATTAGCCTTTAAAAAATATAAAATAAACTACTATAATAAGGGTAAATTAGTAAAATTGAATAATTAAATTAGAACCAAACACCGTATAGTAGCAATAAACCCCATAGTTGGTAGCCAATTAACAGATAGAAGAAAAGTGGATGTTCATATTATAGTAGCAAGAAACGTGCAGCAAACACCCTCTTAATCTTCATATTGTTCTTTCCATAAAAAATATATATATATATATCTTCATATTTACCTGCGTGCTGTAGGGATCATGTGCAATAATTGAGACCTGCGTCGCTTATGAAAGAAACACACAGAGAAGACAATCCATAGACAAGCACATGCACAGAGAGAGAGAGAGAGAGAGAGAGAGAGAGATGTTAACTTAAATGAGAGCCTCTGGCTTTAACTTTATACAAGTCAGAGTTTATGTATATGTGATGTTTGAATATTGTATATACAAAATATTCAATCCGTACATTAATTTCAAGTCAGGGTTTACATCATCCTTCTTTAAATTCAAATAACTACATATATGTTTGAGTTTGAGCATATGCAGTAAACCAAAACTTTATATATAATCCATGTGATTTGTATAATATATATATATATATATATATATACTTACCGCCCACACAACACCCACCTGTATCATCTGTATGTATCAATAATTTCATTCCATCCACTTCTTTGATTTCTGTCTCATTTAGAAAGATGATCAGCTAAAGCCTGCATCACCTTAATCTGGGTGGAAAGACATGTTATGTAGTGAGCAGTTTCCTCCAGCAAGCTGCACAAATCCATGGACTTGGCCCCGGGTACGAGCCGCCGAAGCTTTTTTGCTTGATCCACAGGAACCGATCCCTGGGATGATCTTGAGGCCTTTTTAGTCCTCCTTCTGATCACAACAACCCTTTTCTTCTTACGGTGCCTGCTGGCCCGGTTTCGAAGCTTAAAGAGAAGAGCCCTGCTCCAGTTCATCCTTGGCCCAACAGCATGAGCCATGGATGAATAAGCTGCTATCTTTATTCTCTGCCTGCGCTTTTGGATCAGCTTTTCCTCTGAAGACGACGATGAACTGGGTGGAGCATGGTTTCCGATTTGCAAGAGGGATCGAACAAATCTATGAGCAAACTTGGTTTTGCAGGATTTGATGTTTAAGGTGACACCGCTTGTAGTTATACTAGTCATGGTGAGGAGATAAAATTTTAGGGTTTTTTCATGGAAGGTGAGCTGAGGAGCTCTCTCTGTCTCTCTCTCTCTATATATATATATTGGTGGTGGTGGTGGGGGATCTAAATCCTATAAGTGACTATCTGTAGCTCTGACAGAAATGACTTTATGGGATTAAGGAAAGAAAGATAGGCAATGGCCAATTGGAGGGCCTCTTGCTTGCTTTGCAATGACAAAAGGCATAAGCTTTGATGAGCTCTGAGAGTCTAATTAGCACACAGATTAGGAGCAATGGAAGGATGGTGAAGAAAGAGGGAATAGTTTAGGCTTACATGAGTGGTGGGTTGAAGAACTTTATTAACTTTTTGTTTTGTTTTAATTATCTTTATTATAAAGGCATGCCATGTGTCTATATCCACTAAGGTGCGTGGGAATCACGCAAGCTACAAAAGGGTGAGATGGAATGTTCCTAATCCTATGATTTTCAAAAGGAAAAAAAAGAAACACACTTTAGACTACCTATAATTTTTATATTTTTTTTTAAATTTTTTATAAAAAAGATAACTAACTTGTTTCAGACTAAATCAAGTTCATACTATACTATAGTTGAGATGTGGGTCGAGATTTCCAATTTAAATAAGTTAGTTTTCTAAACGGTCTCACGGGGAAGGTGGATTGCTGGTTATTCCGATGACCAAATCAACATGTCTAAAGCTTGCTCATTTAATCCTTTGAGGCAATGTCTGCCTTCATTCAGTTTGTACTTTGTTTTAATAATATACTCTCGTTTTTTAACATCTTAATGGCATGTTTACTAATACGTAATCGGATTACGAGGAATTGAAATGAAGATAAATTGAATTGAGGAGGAGTTGGATTGAGGAGAATTAGATTCTGGATTCTGATTGAAGTTGTTTACTAAACCATATGGATTTAGGAGAGTTAGATTTCGGATTCCTTTGAAGTTGTTTACTAAACCATATGGAATGGGGGTAGGAGTGGTGCTAATTATTAAAATGTCCTCGTTGTTGGTTTAAAGTAGATGACAAATTTAAAGTTTTTAAAATTGTGTAAGGATATAATGGGTAAAAAAGATAAATTCCTAATGGGCTAGTATCCAGAAATTAGAATACCACCTCCCACCCAAGAATTGAATTCCTCCAAAATTAGGAATTGATTTTGTATGAGCCCCACTTACTTTTTAATTTCTTGATGTTCGTAAACCCAGAAACCCTTCATAGGCGGAATTCAATTCCTAATTAATAAACACACTATAAGGGAAGAAATTATTATATAAAATTTTAATCTAAAAAAGAGAGGCTATTGCATAAAGAAGGGCATATTTGTAAAATAAGCCAGTGAATGAGTCGCGTGGGATTTTCGGTGCTATGTATGGTTTTGCCCATTTCTGTTGGTAGCTTTCAATTCGAAGGAATAGGAGGTTGGAGAAGTGCGGTTGTGGACCCACAAAAGGGCCAACCACCACATGATAGCACATGGCTCACTTACCCACTTGTCTAATGAGAGAACCTTCCTTTCTTTTTCTCTAATCTAATCTTCATTACTTGCTTATCAATTAATGCTTTTGTGTTTGTGTTACATTTAATCTTTTCTTTACATCCGATGTCGGCAGCTCCTGCTTCTTGTCTTGAACACAATTCACAAAAGTTGTTTTTTCTTTTCGTTTCTTTCATCCTACATCAATGTTTGGTGACTTCTTGATCAGTTTAAATTAATGACACCCAACTTTCCAAGTGAAGTCTCAAATTGTGACAAACTCAATGTTTGGTGAACAAGAATTGACTGACTAATCAAGTGTTATAGTGCTAATTAATTTTAATGTGCTTTGTTTGTTCATGGAAAATGTTCTTCGTCGAACCACGCCCCCCTTTTCGTCCGAAACCAGGAGGAAGAGACATGTAGACATCAACATGCCATAATGTCAAATTGATGGAGATGTGCCATCCTTGAATGGAGGCAATGGTAAGGAGGAGAGGAATGGTGAGAAAATAATGGAGAAAAGCACACTGTTGTGGGAAATGAAAATAAAAGAGAAAAATTAGAGAATAGGCAAATAATGATACGCCAAAGTTAAGTTAAGGAAAGAAAAGAAATTGAAATTGGATTAACATGGTTAATTAAAAATAAACATGAACAAAGAGTCTTAATTTTTTAACATTGTGGGTTTGCTTTTTCCTTTGTTTCAAGGGGGCCAATGCCCAAATCACTAAGACCCCACAATCCTAGGCCTATCACAATACAATTCTACTACAATCAATAAGTAACCAAACCTTTTGTTTCACACCACAGCTAACAAAATACAAATAGGAGCTTATATTAATGCACAATTCACCTAAGAATAGTGATTTTGTCACTCCTAATAATTTAGCTTCGGCACTCCAAACTGAGTGTTTTATTATTTTTGTGGTAGTGCCAGAAGCTAAAAGAGGAGTGCCAAAATCGCTACCCTTCAGCCAATCAATCCAGAATCGAAAGACACCCCGGTGGAAGGCAACCAAAGGTTCCCAGAAATGAAACCACCAACAGTAAAACCTTGAGCTGCAGTTGATGTAATTGAAGCATGGTATCCAGGCCACTGAACCCTACCTGAAGTTGAAGCCCCAGGCCCAAAATTCAAGTACTCACCATAATACAAAGTCTTTAGGGCAGACCCACCAGCCCAAGGAGACCACCCAGCTCTATTTATTGACTCATCCAAATAAGACTGCATAACAACTGTTCTAGAATACTGCTTCCATGGCCTCCCAAGATATGTCTCATAGTTGGATTTGACTGGAGCAAGATCTGATGCAGCTGATATTTTGCAGTTGTGGATTGAAATTCCTGTGTTTTGATCTGGGCTGCTTCTGCCTTGTGCTGTGACGAAGTTTTTGAGGCCAGTTGATGCAGGCTTTCTTGCAAATATGTCGCAGTTTTGGAAAACCACAGCTGAGTTTCCGAATATGAAATCGACAGTGCCATAGATTTGGGTTTCTCTGTAGAACTGGCGCTTGGAGTGAGTGTAGAGGGTGTCTTGGTAGCCAACTATGGAGCATCTGAAAATCACTGACTTGTCTGCACCAACTCGGAGAGCAACAGCTTGCTGCTTTGCAGGGCCGGCGCTATTCACAAATGTTATGTCGCGTGCTATAAATCCATCACCCATAGCAGCTGAAATTCACATTTGTATGTCATTAATTTGAAGTACAACGTGTCCAAATTTATCATCATTTTTGTCCCCTTGTGTTGAGGAATATAAATATTTGAGGAGCAAATTGTTTGATAGTTTGAGGTAAATCCATTTCAATACGCAGTAGTAAAATTTATTGCCAAAAAGGTATATAGTAAATAAATTGAAAAGGTAAAATAAGAGTATATTTTGTTGTCATACTATCATAGCAAGGAACGAAAATCCCAATAAAGTTGTTGCTATTTGGATCATATTTACTGACCACATTGTTAACCACCTCTCTAATACAAGTGGGTCCCACATACACTAGTGGGTTCTAACTCTATTAGAGAGGTAGTCAACAATGAATGTAGTACAAATAACATTATTGATTAGTAATTAATTTAACAGTATTAATTCATTTAAGCTATATCACAAAAACTTTTTTTGTTTTTTCCATTAACCCACTTTATATTTCGCCCACCTCTCACAAAAACTTTTAAAGAAAGAATACCATACTCAACTTATTGATGGAGAGATTATAGAATACTAAGGTAGTACAGTCACGTGGTATATTTTGTATACGTGTTATAATATAAGTGGATATTTATAGATACTATTCTCTAAAATGGGGGGAAATAAACCATATCGTCCACCCATATTATAACACGTGTACAAGATGTACCACGTGACCGTACTACCATAATATTCTATATAATTTCTCCTATCGATGGACCCCTAAAAGCCATTTTAATTCCTAAAATACCCCTAATTAACTAAATTTAAAAAAGAGGACGGAAATTCATATATAAGTTCTTACCCACAGTGGCAGACTGGTAAGTTGTCCAACCAGCTTCCGAATTCCTACTTCCCACAATAATCGTCTTCCCCAATCCATCACCAATTAACATAACGTTCTTCTGCTTGGTGGGTATATTTATGTATTCTTGATAAGTCCCAGCTTTTACGTGAATTACAGATCTGCCTCCCGTAGTACCACTCTCCTCCAATGAGGCCACCAGCCCAAGTGCCTCACCAATACTTTTGTGCGTGCCACTCCCATCCAAAGCCACCACAGCATGTGCTTCCAATTCATCCACAGAACCTTCTAGAAGCTTCCTCTCCGTGCCTGAGACCCATGTCGGAAAATCATCCGACAACAGCCTCCGGCCGCCGACAACATTAGGGTTTGTGTTTTTAGCTCTACTAGTCATCATGAAAAGCGATAGGGAGTTGCTTATGAATTGGCTCAAGTTCTTAGCTGAAGTCTCCATGAGGCCCTTGTCTACCTTAGACTTGTCATTCTCAAGGCTCTCTAGACAAGTTTCTTGATTGGTAAGAGCAGCACTAAGCCAGGTTTGGACATCATCGTCAACATGGCCATAGGTTATAACAGAGTACTATATGTCATTATACTGCCAACATTATTGCACTCACTTCCAATATTTGTTTAAAGGCAACCTTGTCTTAAATTTGGGTCCCTAGGTACAAGTTGGGAGCCCGTTAATTATAGATTATAGACTGATATATGTCTGTATCAATTTCATTTATATTTGTGACGACCATTTTTGGCAAAATTTAGTGAGAAATTATATTTTATTATAACCGTGTAGTAGAAGAGGCAACAACCATTATCTAAGGGCAGGAACGGACCTAAGATTTCAAACTGAGATAGACTAAATTTACCGTATGTGAAGGGGTGCTATATGGATAGGCTCGGGTGGGCTTAGAGATTTTAGGCTGAACC